CAGGGAAGGAGATAAAGCCTCTGTGCTATAAGAGAATGGGGGGAGGGCAAGGTAATGCTGGGGGCCTTCCTTCTCCAGAAAGTGACCTACAACGGGGAGGTGACACCACGTAGGGTATTTTGTATGAACACATGAAAAGAGTGAGGTCTGCAGAAACAGACAAAAACACTCAAGGACAAAGCAAGGCTTGTTCTGACAACCTTCTCTGGCATTAGCGTGAGAGACAAAGGGGCATTGCCTGAACACAGATAACCAGGTAAGAAGAGCTCTTTGCCAGAAGTAGCTTGTAAAAGGGAGCCAGGTGCCTGGAGTCAAGTCTTTGCCTCTTTACAAGGTTTCTTTCTCCTTAGCATAGCTTCTTGCCTGTATTTCATCTTCTCTTTCCCAAACCTAAATCACTATTTTTGGTCGCGGAGCCTTCCAGATGGTTTCTACACCCTGCCTGTAAAATGCTGGATATGGCCCGGCAGCTCTGAGTTACTGGCAGGGCACTGCTTCCCTCCATTTGTCAGCTACTGATTGACAAAATAAAGTCTGGGAACTCCAGGAACACCTGTGGAGCCACACACAGGAGGGCAGGTGAAAATTGCAGATGACAGTGGGAAATTTATACTTTGGCATCTGCAAGCTTTGCACCAAGCTTTGCATTTCTTCACAGAAAGGGTGGTTAGGCATTGGAATGGGCTGCCCAGGGAGGTGGTGGAGTCACCATCCCTGGAGGTGTTTAAGAAAAGACTGGACGTGGCACTTAGTGCCATGGTCTAGCTGACATGGTGGTGTTAGGGCAAAGGTTGGATTTGATGATCCCAGAGGTCCCTTCCAACCAAATCAATTCTGTGATTCTGTGAAGAGGCAAATTCAAGTTTTTGAAGATGGCAGGAAAAGAGAGGTAAGAAACAGGCATCCCCCTGTCCCATTCCTGTTCCTTTTGAAGCTACAGTTTCACTTTGAAGAAAGGGACATGGCCAGGAAACCTGCTTTTCCAAAGGAAAACGCTAGCAGCCAAGGTGGCATTTCAACAGAGGACTTCTA